GAAATATACACGTACCTGAGTCCCCGGAGTCAGTTAAAAAAATGGTTACGCTGTTCTCTTTTGGTTTTCTAGCACTGGGAGAGTCTGAGTCCTCAGAAAGTTAGTCTAGAAGTGGATGCCAAGAGCCATCACAATTAGTCCAGCCGACAGGCACTGGCTACCTTAAGTTAACACGGGGAACAATCCCATTAACATCCCTGATGCAAGATAGTTAATATGAATTTCTACCTCAGGTTTCTCCTGGACACCTTTGCAGTTACATTATAGTAGAATTCTCCTATGAGAACCTGAGTACATTATACAAATACATACGTACTTCTTTTTCTTCTACTTAGTCAAAATAATACAGATCTCTCTGTACATAGATCCATGCTTTAATTAATGATTTGTCTCTGTTCTACTCCAGGCTCATGTGATGTTCGAAGCCGAAATATTCCTGTAAGCTTTTGACCACTGGCTTTTCAAATGCAATACCTTCTTTCTCAGACCAGTGATGGGTTTTATGAAAAAATATCTAAAGCATTTAAAAACTAAAAACAATTAAACAAACCAAACCCAAACAGGAATCTACATAAAACCTGAGACTTCAAATCCCTGCTTTTCTTTCCTATCTGCCAAAATGGGTTTTCTCTTTCCTTAAGGAGTTCTCACGGGGACAAAAGCAAGTCAGTGTCAGAAGCTAAACTGTCAAAGTAATGGGTTTTAGGAGGACTGGCCACTGATGGCTTTTCCTCGAAACCTCAATTTGGGACCCAGAAGCAGAAAGCAAACGGCTCCCTTGCAGAGCCTAACCTCGGACCCCGGCTCCACGAAAACTGCCTCACCGCTCGCGCCCCGCATCATGCCAGGGGGAAGTACGCGAGGGTGCCGCTCCCGTTCATCTAGTGCCCGGACGCATCCAGGTCCTTCACAGCGCTTAGCAAACTCCGAGAGGTCTAGGCTCAGCCCTCCATACTAAGCTGCCTTCTCACCGCCTAGAAAGATACCTTGAGGCTGAGCCGCTGCAGTGAGCTGCTCAACCGAACTACAACTCCCAGAATTCTCTGCATAGCATCTCGACTTCTCATGCGGCTTCCCAGATTATCCCGCAGCGTCTTCTACTACTCCTGTGCGCGAGGGCTAAGCCCTCTCAATTTCGCAGATGGAAGCACGTGGCTTGCCCATTGCTGCCGGTCCTTCGATGAAGGAATTGTGTATCGCGTGCGGTGGGACCTTCTGTCTGGGTTATAGTATCCCGAAGGATCGTGAACCTTACCCATGCGGGCTTCTCATTTCTTCTCTTTAAGAGGAAATGCCTGGATGTGTCCCCTACAGGGTTGTTTGCCTGGACCAAGCTTTCACTTTTATTTTTAAATTATATTTGTTTGTTTTGTTTATTTATTTATTTGTATGTATGACACAAAATGCCTATAGCGATCAGAAGACAACTTGCTAGAGTAAGTTGTCCCTCCACCATGAGTCCAGTTTGGTGGCAGTTCCTTTTATCCACTGTGCCGTGTTCCAGCCTCCACTTTCATTAAACTTGTCACTGGGAACTGATACCTACTGTGAAATGACTAAGGTAAGGCCATCTTGTCTCAACTTTATTTTGTGTCAGCCTAGACACTTCTCAGCCTCCCACTCCCACCCCCAATAGCCATATCCACCTTGGCGATGCTTTGGGGATTGTCGTGACCATGGCCCAGATGTGTTTTGTAATGTATGAAAATACTGCTGAGCTTTACAAAGAAAGTAGATATTACTAGGCCACCTGGATTTCCCCAGTAATGTAACACCCTCGCCCCTCCAGCTCTGATGTAGTGGAGGATGCCTTTTTTAAAAACGCTGTACTCCTGAGCTTGCACACCAAGAGACTTTTCAGAGGCACAGGCTCCCTCTTGGTCTGGTCATTAATAAGAGGACTCAAAACTTTTAATTGGTTTAATTAGTATAGTTGTCAGTAAATAGCTCATGTTGATAATTTCAGTTGCCCCTTGCTTTAAAAGGCTAGTAATTTGAGGAGAATGCTGTGTGTGTTCAGGGGGTAAGGGCAGATTTATTTGGAAAGTGGAAGCTATAGTTAACAAAGACCAGACCACCTTAGCAAGATATTGCAAGGCGTATGTATAGAGGCTTGTGTTCAGAGGCATATGAGAGGAACCAAGGTAGTGATAAATTTGGGGTGTCTACTTCTCCCCCAAATTAATGACTACCAAAATGAAATCAAAGGAAGTGGAGCCAGAGAAGGTTTATTTAGGTTGTCTTAGTGACAGGCCTGTTATTACCTTGATTTACACGAAGTAATTAAAGATGCTTGTGCCAGGCTGATCTGAGTAAGGAAATGTGGATTTTCAACTCTACAAATTACCTCAGTTCAGAACTGACCAAGTTCCAACAAGTGTTACTGAACTGGTACTACTATTAACCCTACCAGAGTGGCCAAGGCAACACCTTCTTGTCCTGGTTGTACTCTGACTCCATTTTGTGTCTGCTTGGACATTTTCCAGTCCTTATCCCATGAGCTGTCACTATTACCTCATCAGTGTGATGATTACCAAAGTTTAGACCTTCTATGCTTGAGAGACCAAAAAGAGAAAAAAGAATGCCTCTAACACAACAGTCCCTAACTTATACAGGCTGTACTCCAGCAGCCCACTTCCCTTTTTCCCCAGACAATTGACTATTCTTTTTTGTTTTTGTTTGTTTGTTTTTTGAGACAGAGTTTCTCTGTATAGCCCTGGCTGTCCTGGAACTCACTCTGTAGACCAGGCTGGCCTCGAACTCAGAAATCCGCCTGCCTCTGCTTCCCAAGTGCTGGGATTAAAGGTGTGTGCCACCACTGCCCAGCTTGACAATTGCCTATTCTTAAATTTACTGATCTTGTTAAATTAACTGTTCTATCAAGATAGTAGGTCATAAGACTGCTATTTCTGGTTTTGTAATTGAACTTGCGTATTCTGTTCAGGAAGATAGCTAGGACAATTGCAAGATATATATGTTAAAATTAGACTCTGCCTACTCATAGACGGAATGCATGTAAGCTAGTGGGATTTGCCTTTATAAGCCCTGGGCTGATATAGCTAGATGCTGCATCTTGGGAGTGTTCTCAAGTGTGGTCCTGGCCCCATATTGGGCACCAGTATCTAAAATAAAAAGCCTTTTCTTATTGAAATTTATTTATGGTCATAGTGAGTCTCTGAACAACCCTAGACTCATAATATCAACATATTCAAGACTATCCCTTGACCTGGACCATAGCCCAGCTATATAACCCAAATAACTGATGTGTTCTACCAAAACAAATGTTACCAGGTTCTGCTGACCCATACCTGACAATGATATCATTGTGGTTTTTGCCTAATAAACACTAAGTACCCAAGCTTCAGTGCCAAGAGTTCTTTGGAGACAAGAGCCTGCTCTTAGTCACTGGCTAGTTAAGGACTCTAATCTGGCTTTTTATGCATAGTAGTCTATAACTTTATCCCCTGAACTATGAGTCAGACTACCTACATGAGCTCTGGGATTCTGTAGATTTGTGAATCGTCAGCTGGTATATTCTCACTTATCTTCCCACAGGAAACTATAGTCAATTTGAGCATCAGTTTGTATTTACAGAAGAGAATATTTGATCCGCTCACGTCTCCAGGAACAAGCCACAATGTCAGACTGTCCTTTCTCCAATCTAGTGCCTAAATTTTAAGAAGACCTAAAGCTTCTTGGGTAAAACCTCCTTTTTTCAACACTTCTCCTCCTGTCAGTGGGCTGAGAACAAGTGTGCTTCTTAGGAGTTTCGTGTGTCCTTCTCTATGCTGGCTGGACCATAGACAAGGCATCAGGGTTCGTGCAAATAAACATGGAGACCATTGAAACCCGAGTGAAAGGATTACCACTTAGCTCAGAGGGAGTCTAGCTGGACTTTGAGAAAATCTCAATAAACCATTCGGTTTTGGTGTGGCCACATTGGGAAGTCCTACATAAAAGTTGTCTTTGGGTATCAGTGGTAGGTAGCTGTAGGCTCTAAAGGGGAAAGAACAATGGAAAAACTAGGGGTCTGCACAGCAAGTGATCATAGGTTGTAAACTCACTGACCCAGAGCCTGGGCTGATGGCAGGGTTTTACATGGTGATCACTGTGCAGCAGTCCAGATCACCTTTCCAAAAAGAAGCTATACATTGACCTCCCTACTGTTTTCAGTCACGTTTCCCATTTCACTGGTAATGACAGTGTCTTGGACAAATACCATACTTGACACCAAGTTTATTTTGAAGAACAGATTCAGAACTCTCAGAGACACTCAACAGACATGTGTCAATAGTTCCCTTTATTTTTTACTTGACATTACAAAACATTAGGTATTATCTACACACAGATCCTGTGATACTTTTCTTCAAGCTGCTTATTATATAAAATACACACAAAAATGAATTCCCTGACACTCTTCTGCTTCAAGAGACCAATTCAATTTGTTTAGTAGGATGGGAGAGGACTGTTTGGCAATTTAATCTCCTCTCAGTTCCAAGAGAAACCCACCTTGATTGACTGGAATACATAAGCCCACTTCTAGGCCTTACCCTGCAAAAAGGGAATACAGACTCCCAAAGTCAAGGTTGTCTCATATCTGACCTTTAAAACAATAAAATACAGAGCTTAGCCAAGGAAATAGATGCATTTGGGTACTCAGGATCTAAAGTTTGGTGATGGGGAAGTGCATTGATGAAAGTTTAAATATCCAGAGATATTTCATTCAATAGAGAGCTATTTTAGGTCTGGGTATAAAGGGGTCATGTGGAAATACTGAGCTAAGTTTAAATGCAAAATTTAACTTTGATAGTGGCTTCTAGTGTCATCCAAATACCAAGGTGCCTGTCTGTCCCTACCTTCAGGTGTGAATTCTGGCTCAAGTAGAAGTGATCAGAATGGCACCTAGCTGATAAAAATATCCTTTAGTGTTCTCTTTCTTATTCATGGTGATATGCCGGGTGCAAACAGTACAGATTGAATGGACACTCATACACACCAGATGAGAGTCACAGGTTTCTGTTTATTTAGGAGGCTTGTTACTGTACCATGAGCAATGAAGAAGGAAGAAATTGATCTTGGAAGTGATGACTAGTATGTTAAGAGGCTGCACTGTGAAAATTTAGAGAGAAAGGAGGTGGACCCACGCAGGTTTTAAACAGAGAAACTTTGTTATTCATTTAAACATTTATTGATCACCTAATATTTGCAAGGCATGCCGTAAGACAGAGAGACCTATTAAATCACATCTCTAAGTGCTTACAATCCAGCTAAGATAGTTCAGGTATGCCAATTATAAGACAAAATTTAAGAGCATAATCTATAGTAGAAACACTGAAGGCAGACCCATACTGAAGACCTAGTTTCACCTTGTGTCATGTAGGGTATTTTACTTAATCTCTCTAAACTTCAGTGAGCACATCTGTAAAATTTAGACAACAAAAAGGCCCATTTCAAGTGTGAGGATTGGTTGTTGATCATGTCCTTGAGTGGAATGAAGTGGCTTGAATAAGAATTGTCTCCATAGGCTCATTATTTGAATGTTTTGTTCCTGATTGATGGAATGTTTAGAAAGCATTAGGAGGCGTGGCTTTGTTGGAGGTGTATACTGGGGGTGGGCTTTGAAGTTTCAAAAGCCCTTGCCAAGACCAGTGTGCCAAGGCCAGTCTGTCTGTCTCTCCCTATCTCTTGGCCTACTGCTTGTGGATCAGATGTAAGTTCTGCTCCAGTTCTGTGCCTGCCTGTCACCATGCTCCCACAATGATGGTCACAGACTCATCCCCTGGAACTATATGCAAGCCCTGCAAATGCTTTCTAAGTTGCCTTGGCCATCATGTCTCTGCACAGCAATAGAAAAACAACTAAGACACCTGGCTTCACCTTGTGTTCCCTAGACTATATGACTTAATCTCTCTAAACTTCAGTGTGCTCCTCTGTGAAATTCAGACAGCAAAAGGACCTTTTTCATAGATTTAGTGAGAGGATCAGTCAATCTAGCACTTTTACAATTCACCGCTGAGAGTTTACCCTAAGACAAGTGCTTAGTAAGTGCTACCACTACTACTAGTCTAGGAGGGTTAAATACTGGGGCACAAGAGAACAAGGTCTGGGTGCCAAAAAGCTTCAGAAAAACAAAGAGCTATAGAAATTTTTGGAGAAAATGGTATTCTCCCATAATTGTGACATTCTCCAACTGTAATAGCCTGCAGCTATTTAAAGTGCAGTGATAACAAGCCTATTCTCACTATGTCTGCAGATTCCTCTCCTAACATCTATTCTGTTGTCTGACAATCTCTCCAACTTTCTTGTGCAGTGCTTGGGATCACACTGCAGCTCTTCATGCATGCTAGACAGTAGTCTATCACTGAGCTATGCACAGCCTCTGTGCAAAATTTTGAATGTGGAGATTCATGGTTTAGTTTCTGTACTCCATGTTAGTTCTGTAGCATAGGAGGTACACCATTTACTCAGACCCTCGAGCAGAGGTCGGACAGAAGACAGAGCTAGCAGGACGAACAAATGCTGGATTTGTAGATGACACGGAAACCTTCCAAGCTTGAAGGAAAACCCATGGGTCTAGCTCATGCTTCCCCTTGCTCAGTCTATCCCTTGTTTGGCGTAACGCCTCTGATGCTGAATAACTGAGGACTTGGAGCTGAACTCTTTGCCGCACACACTGCACTCAAAGGGTTTCTCCCCCGTATGAACTCTCTGATGTCTGGTTAGCCGGCACCGCTGGCTGAAGGCTTTCCCACACTCGCTGCACTCATATGGCTTGTCTCCAGTGTGTATCTTCTGGTGCTGTGTAAGGGAAGAGCGGTCAAAGAAAGCTTTGCCACACTCGCTGCACTGATAACGGGGCTCCCCAGTGTGCACTTTTTGGTGTCTGTTTAGGGAGGTGACGCCATAGAATGCTTTCCCACAGTCATTGCATTCGTAAGGCTTCCTGCCAGTGTGGATCAGCAGGTGACGGGTGAGAATGCTCTTCTGGCTGAAGGCTTTCCCACACTGCTGGCATTCATAGGGACTCTCTCCAGTATGGATTCGCTGGTGGCGAGTAAGGGATGAGCGGTCAAAGAAGGCTTTGCCACAGTCATTGCATTTAAACGGCTTCTCCCCTGTGTGAATCCGCTGATGTACAGTTAGGGATGAACGGTCAAAGAAGGCCTTGCCACACGCACTACACTCATACGGGCTCTCTCCCGTGTGGAACATCAGATGTCTACTGAGACTGCTTCTGTGGCTGAAGGCCTTCCCACACTCAGGACAGTCATATGGTTTCTCTCCAGTGTGAGTCCTCTGGTGGCGGATGAGGGATGAATGGTCAAAGAAAGTCTTCCCACACTCACTACATTCCTGGTCTTGGTGTTTAGCGAGGGTTTTCTTGGATGGAGCTGACCTTTGCTGCAAGCTTTTATCCAAGGGAAGGGGCTTTTTGCAGGTCTTTGCTTTGGGGATTTCCTTCTCTGGTTCCAACCTACCTGTTAGTGTTTGGATTTCACGTTTAGGGCATAGAGAACTTTGCCTTCCATAGATTTCCCTCAGTGTGCCTTCTAAAGTATCTAGGGTCTCAGACTTAGTTTCCAAGTCTGCAACAAAGAGAAAACAGATGCAGTTTCTTCTCTGAACTAGGACACATAACAGAGGAGAGAAATGCTATGACAGACATAAAGGTAATGCTTAGTCACAGCACAGCTCAAGCCAAAGGCTTGGGAATAAGAGAAGAGGCAAGGAAGGAATTTGACAGCAGACTTCTTAGGATACCGGAAAATGGCCCTGGGAGTGGGGCCAATAGCTTATTAGGGTAGGCTGAGTAGAGAGGTGGGTGACCAATAAAAATATCAGAAGTGTACACAGGCAAGGTCACAGTTCTGAGAAACATGTTGGTGAATATAGATAAATAACACATAACCGTGTAGAAGGGGAAAGAGAACCAGTAATTGACAGGAAACGAACATGCAAACAGACAACCTGCATTTGAGCAAAGGTGACTCCTAACATTCCTGTGACCCAGACAACCAGACAGACAACCTGCATTTGAGCAAAGGTGATTCCTAACACTCCTCCGACCCAAACAACAGAAGCAAACACAATCCTGCCCATCCTGTTCAAACCTACTTACCTAAAGAGACACTCTCTGGCCATGCTTTTTCCTCAGATTCATGAAGATCCCGAGTCCAGGGCTCGCCCCTTCTCTTTAACTGAAGAATCACATCAGGTCGAGGAATGGGAAGGCCTGCTCATAGAGGAAAAGAAAGGCAGGTGGCTGCTGGGATGAAAATGTCTAACCATTCTGAAACTTAATCCTGGCCTCTAAGTCTAGACTCTTCCAGAAATGCAGAGCATGGACCAGAAAGCCTGAGGGAAGGTCAGGACTGGGGATCTTGAAAGGAACAAACGGCAGGCACCAGGGCAGTGCCCACAAGAGCCACCTCAGTCCACAGGCGGCTAATGAGAGCTTTCCATCGGCACTGGACACTGGACAGTGGACACTGACACTGGCAGGATAGAGGCCCTTGGCTCAAGAGGTAAGTATAAAAACAAACAAACAAACAAACAAACAAACAAAGGAATCATCTTGACAAAAAAAGCTGAAGGACTCAATTTTGCTTGCTCATATTCAGTATAATGCTTTTATTGAAACTTGTCAGTTGTATTTAACGTAGGAAAACTAGAGTTCTGTATAAGTAAAAAGAAAAACAATCACCTGCCATGCTCTCTATTAATTTTTCTTTCCTTCATTTACATGTGACTCTGTGAGGGGGCTGGTGACATGGATACACCAAGTCTGCTAAGCTGGGCTGGCTTCCTAGAATCCTCGTGGTAAAAGTAAAGAACCAATCCTAAGAGTTGTCCTTTGACCTTCACACATATGCTGTGGCCTATGTATGCCCCACCCCCAAATCAATAAAGAAAAGGCAATTAGCCGGGCGGTGGTGGCGCACGCCTTTAATCCCAGCACTTGGGAGGCAGAGACAGGTGGATTTCTGAGTTCGAGGCCAGCCTGGTCTACAGAGTGAGTTCCAAGACAGCCACGGCTACACAGAGAAACCCTGTCTCGAAAAACAAAACAAAAACAAACAAACAAAAAAAAAAAAAAGAAAAGGCAATTAAATGTTATAAGAACTTTAAAAAATTGGATAATGAAATACTGTTGACTTGTAAATTGAAGTTGTTTTAATGCAACAAATTTAAAATATTAATTTTAATTAGCACAGATTTTCTACAATTTTTTTTTTTTTTTAGGTTTTTCGAGACAGGGTTTCTCTGTGTAGCCCTGGCTGGCTTCGAACTCAGAAATTCACCTGCCTCTGCCTCCCAAGTGCTAAGGTTAAAGGCGTGCACCACCACTGCCCGGCATTGTACAATGTTTTAATGGCTATACAGTACTGTGGTAAATGTGCCCCTGTGAGGTGTATGAATTGGTAATCTTATTACATTCCTTGTATCATTCTCCAGAAGCAATCGTACCCATAACCATATAAACAAAGTTAGATCTCACGCCTGGAAACACCTGGGCTCCCCATGCACAGGGTTCTGTCCTGGGAAACAGGTGCTTTCTCCCTCCACTTGAGAAGCATCTGTCTGCCGTGTGCTGGTTCTCCTCTGACAGACTGGTCATTCTCATCCCTTCCTGGTACTTCTGGTCTCTAACCTCAGGGATTCCATACTGCCTAATATTTCACTCTCTAAAGCTCAGGGCCTTATTTTATAGTGCCATTTATGGGTACAATCTTTGATAAGATTGTTACTAAAAACAAATATCCAGAGGTCCTGAGTTCAAATCCCAGCAACCACATGGTGGCTCACAAACATCTGTAATGAGATCTGATGCCCTCTTCTGGTGTGTCTGAAGACAGCTACAGTGTATTCATATATAATAAATAAATAAATCTTTTTTAAAAAATCAAACATATCTCTAATAACTTTTCTCCTTTTCACAGGGGCACATCTTTGTAGCTTCCTCCTCTAGCTTCCATGAAAGGACCACTATCCCTCTCACCAAGATGACTCCTTGTTCTTCCAGGTGGAACTGAAGACATTACCTGTTGGCATACCAGGAGAAGACCTGGACTTATTGATGATTTTTCTTGCTGCCTCTGGAAAACCAGATCCACACATACAATACATACTCTGCCCTATCCTCTAGATTGCCTTCTATTTTGTAGAACAAGTTGCTGAACAAGGAGGCCTGTGGTTGCCCAATGCTGTTAACACCATCTGTCTAGGGCTGGGTTCACCAGCTATGCACCCAAAGGCATCTCCTTTGGCTCTTTTGTCAGGTGGCTCTGAACTCAGGTGGATAGTGATCTGCAGATCATGTGCCCCACACTCATTCATGAGACGTTCTGATTCCTCACAGGAAGCCTGCTCACCCAGTGAGATGATGCTTTCATAGTTCTCCAGCATCACGGCCTTGTAGAGTGCCCTCTGCACAGGTACCAAATGCTTCCACTCATCATCTGTGAAAGTCACCACCACATCTTCAAATGTCACCAATGCCTGAAAAGACAACCATACTCCCCCTTACAATCCTTTTCTTTCTTGTTGTCTGTTTTGTTTTTCTTGAGACAGGGTCTAACTCTGAGTGTTCTATAGCATGCAGCATATACTCCAGCCTAACCCAGCACTCTTTGATGTTTAGGGGCTGACCCTCAGTCCATAACTGGCTGCACCAAAGGGACAGCCAAGACAGAACCACTGATCCTACAGTCCTCCAAGTGACCTGTTCTGTCAGCTTTTGGAAGATCACAGAGCAACAGCTACAGGTGTTTTGTGCTTGGTGATAGGCCAGTAAGTAAGCACAGGCTCAAGGAAAGTCATCTTGCTTTGGACCTTTCATTGGGCTAGGAATGGAGGGTTATGAAGGAAGACACTCAGGATAAAGACAGTGACTACATTTTGGCAACTAATAACAGTCTTTCAGAAACAAAACAAGTTTGCCTCACCTGACATCTGGTAGGTGGAGACACAGCAGCCATTCCCTCCTATGCTGCTCTGGTAGGGAAGGACAAGAGTCCTAGTGAGGAAAAAATGTGGGGGAGAAAAGATATGAGAACGATAACTTCTGGGGTCCTGACCCACATAGCAAGGCCCCTCCAGATATCAGAGCAATGTAGCCAACTTCATCCCCATCACCTCACAAAGAGTAAACAAAACAAGGCCAAGAGCACTCCATGCTCATTCCAGTGTTACAACAAAAGCTATGGATATTAAAGCCACGGCACATTGTCTGCTTTACCATGATCTTCAGGGCAGAGTTGCATTCCCAGGAGTCAGAACACAGTGTGATCCATATGATATTTATATAGTCACATTTAGTATTGCCCTGAGCAAAAACCACGAGGAACTTTCGACACGACTATATGGATGAGACAAGTCCTGTAACCTCTTCAGAGTAGCATCCCATTTATAGCTCCAGCCAATGAAGCATCCATCTCCGACACTGTAAGACTCTTTACCTCACTTCCAGAACCAGAGTGATCATATCACAGCTGGGCAATGAGTGAGTAGCTGTTCCACCAGATACATCCTGGTCTGCTTTCCCTTGCTCTGATGAAACACTGACCAAAAGCAACTCAGGGAAGAGCAGGTTCATATGGCTCACAGATTACAGTACATTATCAAGGGATGCCTTGGCGGGAACCTGGAGGCAGAAACTGAAACAGAGACTCTGTAGGAACACTGCTTACTGGCTTGCTCAGCTACTTATACAGTCCAGGCCTACCTTCCCAGGGGTGACATTATCAATAGTGGGCTAGGCCTTCCTATATCAATTGGCAATTCAGAAGATGTCCCACAAACATGTTAACAGGCCGATGGAGGCAACTCAGTTGAGATTCTCTCTTCCCAAGTGTGCCTAAGTTTGTATTCAGTCAACAAAAACTATGACAGATGTGATCTGGTGTGAAAAGATGGCATCCTTTGTGAACATGAATTTTTAAATGTTGGGACAATATGTAGGAGATGAGTCAAAAAGCTATGAGGAGGTACTGAGTAGTCACAGGGACCAGAGGAGCAGAGTCCCCTGGAGGCAGAACCAATGGAAACGGCTCCATTAGCGCTGAAATACTGGTGCTCATGGGTGCTTCCAGATGAGATTAGTGAGCTCTGGTTGCAGCTTTACTTATTCTTGGATTTCCAGAAGACTCTTACCCTCTTTGACCTCCCTTTGCTTAAGTTAGCTAACTGGATCTCACTCTCTCACAATGAAAAGTCTAACTGAAGACTAGTGGGGTGTGGCGGCGCATGCTTGCAATCTCAGCACTGCCTTAGCCCAGACAGGAGGGTTGAGGAGAAATGCAGCAGGTTTCTTGGCACACCTGGGACCTACAGTTTAGATGTGAGGGAGGAGCAACATCATAGACAAGGGCCTCGAGTCTTGAATAAGCAAGAGGCAGATCTTTATCACATCATGAATTACTACTGAGCCGGGCGGTGGTGGCGCACGCCTTTAATCCCAGCACTTGGGAGGCAGAGGCAGGCGGATTTCTGAGTTCGAGAGTTCGAGGCCAGCATGGTCTACAGAGTGAGTTCCAGGACAGCTAGGGCTACACAGAGAAACCCTGTATCGAAAACAGCCTGGAGAAACCAGCCGAGGTCAAAGAACATGAAAAGGTGCTTTGAGCAAGGGCTATTTCAGCATAGTTGGGTCTTCATTAGATATGCACTTTAGGAAAATCATTGGGACGAGTAGCAATAGCCTTCAAACACAGACATTCTTAGATTGGTCAATTCTCTTCTAGAATTTATTCAATAAGTATGAGAGAATAGCCATAAAGCTTTTAATTAACCATCACCAACACACCATCTTTATTGAAGGTTGTCTGCCAGCCAGTTTCCTAAGCACATTACACGTACCATCTTGTTTAGTCTTTAAATAATGCAACTAAAATCTAGACTCTCCTAAGCATCTATGACAGAAAACTTGATTAAATAATTTATTGTCTAGAGGCTAGACATAGAGGAGCGCTATCAAACACCACCATAACTAGTATTGTTGAGTGCCTGCTCTCATGAGGCTCTATGCTGAGTACCTTTTACAAAGATAATTTAGTTCCATCTTCATACATCAATAAGAGAGGTACTGTTTCACAGCAATTAAGAGATTCAGGCTATGTAAAAGGCTGAGGTAGAATTGGGAAAAGTCTGCCTGGAAGCTTTTAATTCTGTTATAATTTACTTTCATTGAAAGATAGCCATATCGGAAAAAAAAAAAAGATAGCCATAAAGTTAAGCAGATCTTTACCTGCAACACATCTCAGCATTTTGGGAAGCTTGATTCGAACCACTGAAATTTCATGGAACACAGAAGTATGGTGACAATCACCTATAATGCTAGCACTTGGAAGGCTGAGGCTTACTGCCAGGTTAAACTACAAAATAAGATCGTATCTCAAATGTAAAACAAAACAAAAAACACCAGGGAAAAGGTCACTGGTAAACTGCCAACAACTTCAATGGAGTAATAAACAACTGGTCTGGTCATCACCGGGACTGCTAGACATCTGATGGTTACTGGTGGTTGGAACTAAGTTGTGCTAGTTCGACTTAATGGTGGTCAGAATGTCAACCGTAGAATTGTTTCCTAAAATTTTGTTTATGTTGACCTCATCTGAGACTTACAAAATATCCTGCTTGGTGGGTCTTAACCTGGTACTGTGGGTCTTGTCTGGCTGCAGTATAGTCCCTTCACCCTTATTTCCCACTATTCTTTAACAGTGCACTCCGGTCTGTATCATCTCAGAACTGCCTAAAGCCATTTGCAATTTCCTTTAGGGTTTTCTTCACCTCAAATCCGGTATCCTCCAGGAACACCCTATGCTCAAGCCAGGACGTTCCAGCGCAGGCTCAGGGCGAGGAGGAGCTGAAGGACGCATCGTGAAACGTTTTCTAGGGGACTGGGTGAGAATGGAGTGGATGCTCCAAGATTCGGGGTCGGTACCGTCCACATTCATGAAGCACCCATCATGGAAAGAAGGAACGAAAGGAAGACCGGGACCTCCAACTTGAAAGTACAGGATTTCTGACACACAGTGGACGTACCCTACAAGAACACTCGTAACGGTGCCGGTTCCCCACGGAACCGACAAACGCCAGACGAGAGGACTCTCCGTCCGCGGCTCTCGCGCAATCTGGTTCCGCTAGGTCACGCCCACTAGCCCTCCTCCAAGTTCCCAGAGTCCCCGTCTCTCCGCCACTTGGCTTCTCGAAGACCTAGACCCGCAACCCTCACCTTCGGCAAGAGTGCTGGGAACCTGCGAACACCTCACCGCCTCGGGTCGGGAAGGCAGTGCGCCTGCGCAAAGATCTTCGGCTTCTGCGCTCCAATCAATGTGTTGCCTTTGCGTGGACTACATTTCCCAGAAGTGCTGACAGCCGGCGCGCCGTAAGATGACGCGTAAAATCCTGCACAAGATTGCACTCCAGATCTGTGGTGCTGAAACGGATGGAACCAGGCTTTATGTGCTCTCCGAAACCTGGAGCCCGGCTGTCCAGAGAAGGCAGACCTGAGCCGTGCAGCTGTGGAGGAGGACCCTAAACAGCAAAAGTCCGATTTCAGTTCATTTGCCGACGTGCCTATCTTTTCTGAAAGCCAGGGATCCCGGTTCTTAGTCTCCTTTCAGTGGACTATCCCAGATGCATGCGCCCAGAAACATACCTGTTGCAGTCTTCCATCAAGAATTCTTGGCAGGCAGCCGTGGCATATACCTTTAATCCCAGATTTGGTAGCACGTTGGGGGATTTGCACTCAACTCTGTAGCCATAATCTTGGTATGAGGATGACCTCCTTTCTACTACTTCATAGGATACCAGCCAAACAACTGGCTATACGGACTTTACATTTTGTAGCTCAGTCCATTCGTGTGTGTGTGTGTGTGTGTGTGTGTGTGTGTGTGTATGTGTGTGTGTGTAAGTAAACCAGGCTGGCTTCAAACTCAGATCCAACATGTCTCTGCCTCCAAAGAACTGGGCTTTAAGGTGTGCACCACTTTGCCTGGCCTCTTTGTAGCTTAAAAAGGACGTAAAATTTCTAGGAATAAGTCTCAATTTGTGAGACAAAAAAGTCAACCTTCATTTGGCCCTATGATATCTTAGATTTGCCCCCTCTCTGAACTAAAAGACAGGTTGGGGCTTTTCTGGAACTAACTAGATACTGCAGAATATGGATTACAATATTTAAAGAGATAGCCTGGTCAGTCGTGAGAAACTAAATGAGGGTCCCAAGCCCATGCCATTTGTAATAGAGGAACTAAGGAACAATCTTTTTATAGGCTTAAGAAAGCCCCAGCATTGTTGCTTCCAAAGGGATGGGCTCTTTCAACTATACATTACCAAAAAAGCAGGGTTGATAACAGTCCTCATTTGGCCAGTGAATGGTCACAGATGGTCCATACCATACCTGTCTGAACAACTGGACCCTGAAACCCAAGATGACCCCAGTATCTCCAGAGACTGACAATGACTCTTTGATCTCCCATTACTACTGTACACCCCTTCCTAAAAACTTGGTATCTTTGGCTATCAATTAGATCCCTCCAATATCAGTTTTTCTTAAATAGAACCTAGAATTGGCAAAGAAGTAAATTCTTCTTCTGAGTAAATACATACCTTCCAGATGTTACATGTTCATGCTGGTATCTGGAGGGAAAGAGGTTTACTGAACTCCAAGAGCAATTTCATCAAATATTGACCACAGGTTTTGTCTCTCATGAATGCCATCCAGGAACCCTCCAGTGCTGCTATTTCTGTTACAAGGGACATTAAAGAGATAGCTCATTTATCACTAGACTGCCAAGGTCTTATCTCTCTTGTCTAATTTTTGTTGACCCCCATCCCCTCTGTAAGTCTCATGGATCCCTTGTAAGCCTCAGTCTGCTCCTAAGGCAGTGGAAAAGGCAACTGTGAAAGGATTCCTCTGTAATCCCGAAGGATGACTGCATACAGAAATCCTCAACTATTCCCCAGAGTATTCAGTGAAAGCTTGTAAAGGAGCCCTATGATACTTTGGTTGGACAAGGTCAAGAGAAACATACAATCACCTCTTCTCAGGAAAAGGAGAGTTCCCAGGGGCTGCATGATATGTGCTTCAGACATGGTCACTACCCTAAGACCAATTTGGAGTAGTTCACTAAGTCTTGCCAAGTCTTCAACTGGCTATTGGTCTTCATGGATACCCTCACTGAATGAACTAAAGCCTTTCCAGCCTGTGCTGAAAAGACTTGCGAAGTAACCAAAGCACTCTCTCTCAAGCAATTTTGAACTCGCTCAGAATCTGCAGCTGTTTCAAATCATGACCAAGACATTAGGTAGCAAATGCAGCTTGCCCAACCACCACTGCCCTCAGGAAAGGTAGAAGCCTTAAATGATAATCCGAAGAAGCTAAAGAAGAAAACCTCCGTGTTACTTTCTACTACCGTGACAAAACACCATGTCTAGGGCAACATAGAAATAGTTTATTGTGGGCTTACTGTTTCAGAGGGGAAGCCCAGGACCATCATATGTGACTCATTTGGGCAAGCAGGGATAGCGTAAAGGCATGAGCAGGTGAGGTAAAAACCATGGGCTAGGGCTGGAACATGACTGTGTGAACAACCTCTACCATGAATACACAAATTCTGATGTCAAAGGCAACATAATGTTTAATAAACTTTAGGCCTTTACTGGAGTTAGGTACGAATTTCCCACTTTGTCTCATTCACTCCCTGGATCCTTCCCACTGTTCTTTCCCGGTTCCGCACTACTGACGTCTACTGGTCATGCCAGGTACTGATTGGATCTGATCGATTTGGCTACTACCTGAGAAAAAGAGCCCAGAACTAGCCCCGCCCTCGTCCCGCCCCTGCCTGGGGTCCTAGCGCGAGGACCCCAGAGAAGCTGTCCGAGGTTGAGCCTGACTCGGTTTCCATTGTGGTCCACGTGGGCAGTTTTTCGACCTCCGTGTTCGCTGAATGGTGGCCCTCGAGTCTCAGCACACCTCTTTGCTCTGATGATGGACGTCTGTCGAGGTGCGGTAGCCGCCCGTCGCCGCAGGCGGTGAGGAAGGCGGTCCCAGAGTCAGGCAGTGTCGCTGCTCCGGCTCCAGCATGGCGGCGGCCTTACGCGCTGCGGGCTGTCTTCCTGCACTGTGTAGCGTGCCGGCAGGTGAGCTCTGGGACCTGGACTGAAAGCGCACGCGATCAGGGTTCTTTCCCTCGGGCATGTGAAGTCCAGGCTCCACGAACGCGAGAAGTCGCCGAGCCCCTGATCCCGATCTCCAATTCGGGTCGGGCCGGCTGTGTGACCTTGTGCGCCTTCTCTCCTTCTCTGGTTGCGCGGTTTGAGATTATAAGGAGTGAACTGGGCAATGTGCGTTCAGCTGGGGAAACCTCTCGAGCCCACTCTGAGGCGCTAATGTAGCAAGCGTCGTCTGTGGTTCATAGGGTGATGTCAATCCCTGTTTCGAGTCAGAGTGCTTTCAGCGAAGCTCAAAACTAAAAGACTACCAGAATCTTGTAGAGTCTTTTAGATTAACTAGCTGTCCTTTTAGCGTCAGGGACGATCCGTTGCCAGAATATACTTTGGCTGTCAGCGTCTTCCCGCCCTTCTCAGTTGTATGCAGATCTCTAGCATAGCGTTGACCTGTATGAACGGCTTCTCGCTGGACAGTGTACCCTTTTATTAGGCTCAAGGTCCAGGTCCTGAAAGTTCATTTTATTGCAATATTTGACCTGAAATCACTTGATAGGGTATGTGACTTGAGCCTTTGTTTGTTTTGCCTGCGTTGAAACCATCTCCTTAAGGCCTCTGTCGATAGTGAGCTGTAACATTCACAAGCGCTTACCCGTGTGTGCCAGAAACGATCTTAAGCTATTTACGGTTTTATCCCTCCATATTGTCTTCACGGTGCCTTGATGATTCTGTTGCATTCTCATACCACCCCACCCCTCACTGGCCTTTTTGTTTTTGAGACAAGGTCTTATTATGGCCTCAATTTTTCAAGCCTCCTGTCTCAGCTCTAAACACTGGAGTTACAGTTGTTTACTATCTTTAATCTTATAGATGAAGTAATTACAACATACAGAGATGAGAAACTAGCTCACAGATTAAGATTTAAAAGTTTACACCCATAATGCCTTGCTTCAAGTCCCGTCCCGTCTCTCTCCCGCTCATGATCTGTTTAAAGTGTACACCTCAGTGTTTTATTTTAGTGTTTTTGAGGATGGTGCATGTATCATCACAGTCAGTTTGAGAACATTTCCATTACTCCCAAAGAAAAAAACTGTACCTTTAGCTGTTGCCGCCACCCCACACCATCTCTCACTAGCCCTTAACAGTAGGTGACTACTGATCTATTTCCCATCTGTCCATAGCTTGCCTGTTTTGGGCATCTGGTTTCTGTGATTGACATCTGCCAATAATTCAGTGTTGTCCATGCTGTGACATGCTAGTCCCATGTTGCTTGTGAGCCAATAATTCTCTTGTGTCAATACACCACATTTTGTTTATCCATTCATTGGATGAACATTTGAGCTGTTTCCATCTTGGCTGTTAGGGCTGATGTTAAAACATTAGGATACTGTGCTTCTGTCTGTTCCATATCCATCCTCTTGTGTGTATTTCCTGAGTGGAATTGCTGGTTGAAGTGATAGCTCCATGTTTCACTAAGGAACTACCAAGTAGCTGGACCACTTTATAGCTCTATCAGCACTGTGTAGGGGCTTCAGTTTCTCTTTGCCAGCACTTGTTATTGTCTGTTCTGTTCAGATAACCAAACTGTGACAATATACTAATTTTGTGGTTTTGATTTCCGATGGGCTAATTTTCATATGCTTATTAGCTATTTGTGTATGTTCTTGAAGAACTGTCTGTTCAAATCTCTCTCTCTCTCTCTCTCTCTCTCTCTCTCTCTCTCTCTCTCTCTCTGTGTGTGTGTGTGTGTGTGCATGCGTGTGTGCGAGCGCACACATGTCTAACTTGATTGTGCGGTTCTTGACCATGAACTTCTTAGCTTAGTGGTCTGTGCCATGTTAAGATGCCAAAGCTTGGGAAGACTAGATATGAGCTGGAGCATGCTAGGCAGGTGCCGAGCTTTAAGCTCTAGTGTGTGAAGACTTGGACCCCATCTGTGGAGCTATTATAGAAGCTTAGGAGGAGGAGGAGCCGCTCTGGAGGTAGTAAGTCAGTGGAGGGGGCTATGAAGCTTTATAGTCTGCTCTCCGTTCCTGATCACCTGCTTCCTGGGTGTGGATGTGGTGTTCTGTCGACTTGTCATCCTTGTTTGCTGCCATGACTGCTCTTCCATGATGGACTGTATCTCTCTAGGACTGTGAGCCCAAATAAACCCTTTCTTCCTTAAGTTGCTTATTCCTGGATATTTTATCACAGAAACAAGAAGTACATTTTTGTTTTTTGAGACATGTCTCAACAACTGTTGTTGAAATCATTCTCTAGCCCATGCTGTGTTTGAGTTTTCCATCCTCCTGTCTCAGCCTGTCTAACAGCTGGGTCTGTGAGCCTCTACTAACAGGCTTAGCTTCATGTTCATTTTTCAGTTGGGTCGACTTTTTATTATTGATTTGGAAGGCGTCTTTGCATTTTCTAGAAATAAGTCTCTTTTCAGATATTTTATTTTCAAGAAAAAGAAGTATTTTTGGAGACAGGCTCTTGTGTAGTTCTGGCTATCTTAAAACGCACTATGTAGGGCAGGTTGGCTTCAAATTCACAGAGATCACCCTGTCTCTGCTTCCAGACAAGGATAAAAGGCATGTGCACCATGAATAAACATTTTTTATCCCATTTTGCATGTTGACTTTTAAGATACCCTCCACTGCCAAGGTTCTCACTATGAATGCAGTCTAGCCTCAAACCCACAGTGATTCTCCTGCCTCAGCTTCGCAAATGTTGGGATATACTGTTATACCTGACATTGATAGTGTTCTTTGAAACACAAGTTTTTGTGTTTGAGCATCCGGGGCCTAGTGCACGCCAGGCGAGTGCTGTACTACTGAACTGTTTTTAGCATTGACCATCGGTTTGAAGTTTTGACGGTCTCATTCATCTGTTCCCCCCACTCTCCCTTTGGTAGAACGTGCTTTTGTGTTGCATCTAAGAAACCACTGCCAAACCCAAGGTTGTGATCATTTATCCCTGCTTTCTTTTAAAAGTTTATAGCTTTGACTGTTACCTTTGACCTCTGACCAGCCTTGGTGTTAGTTTTTATATATGATCTGAGGCAGAGCTACACTTCACCCATCTGGATTTTACTGCCCCGCTGTCTCCATACATGAGTTTTCTCAGCACTGCTGTCAGAGTCTGTTCTAGAACACCACACTAAGTGAGGGCTGGTGGGCACCAGAGGGAGCAGGAGTGGGGATCTGCGAGGCTTCACCTGAGCTGTTGTTTGAAATAGACTCCCCTCCCCCCAACAACACACATGTTCTACTCCCTAAGCTCGGGAACCTCCAGAGAGCAGCATGATGATTCTCCCGACGTCTGTAGTAGTGAATCTGTGAGTTTTGTTGGGATTGTTTGCAGGAGTATGGGTAGCATCAAAAGACCAGCAGGGATGGCACAGGGTGCAGGTGACATCCAAGGGACTTTCACGGGGCTTGAAAACTGCATGGGTTTGAGAGTGAAAGGCGGAGATGAGATGGCTTACTCATTGTCTTAATCCTTCTGTAATGTAGGTGCCAATATGTTATGGGTATTAGTGGTAAAATGTTCTGTCTTATGTAGAAAAGTATCTTTAAACAAATACTCTTTTCCTCCCAATTCACAGGTCATTTCCTGTCTAGGCAGCTCTCTTTAAACACCTTTCCAGTAGCAGCCACTTCCTTTTTGGCAGTGAAGACAGCTCTCAGCCACTGTAAGTTCTACTGCCTCTCTGTTCTCTTAAGGTTTATTTACTACGTAGTTTTGTTTCGGGTGAGAGCAGCCATCTAGGGGCTCCGCGGAAGCTAGTTATACACTCATCAGGTTTCCTCCCCAGAGGCAGCTGTAGTTACAGTCTCTCGTATGTGCTGCTGGGGTATGTAAGATACACTCACAGATATACCTGATTTGTTTCTAGAACAGGATAGGCTGCATACTCTGGCATTTTCCTCTGCTGGGACAGTTGCAGATCAGCGCACATCCCTGCAGCACACAGCAGAGGGCTCTGTTCTCCCACAGTAGACTGTGTGCTGTGGGTACTGCAGAGCGATGCCACAGCTGTCGTGTGGAGGAGGTGCAGCTTCTGTAGCTAGCAGAGACATTTACATTATTTTGTTTTGAAGATGTCTCAAATTTTAAAAAAAAATAGATTTCTTTATGTCTGTGTATCTTGGCTGGATGTGGGGGTAGGTCTATACACATGTATGGAGGTGCCTAAGAGCCAGAAGCATAGATTCCCCTGGAGGAAGAGTTAGGTGGTTGTGAGACATCTAAAAGGGTTGCTGGGAACCCAACCCGGGTTCTTTTCAAGAGCAGTAGATGCTCTTAACTGCTGAGCCATCTCTCCAGCCCCAAAATATAATTCTTAAAAGGTCAAGATATTGGTGATTTAAATATTTTTTAAATTACATGTGTGAGTGTGTGTGTGTGTGTGTGTACACATTCTACCACATGTGTGGAAGCCAGAGGAGAGTTTGTAGTTTGTAGGAGTTGGCTCTCCTTTTACCACTTGTGTCAGTGAGGTCAAACTCAGGTTGTCAGCAGGTGCCTTTAACTGTCCAAGCATCTCATCAGCCCCTAGTGACTTATTTTCATTAGTATGATTGTGATTAATATATGTATTAGTATGATGAGTATGCAGTGGTGCTAGCAGTGTTTCTCTACAGCCATGGGGCATCTAACACAGTTTTACTCTGTCTGCCTGTAGACTCTTTGTCACCAAGGGAAACAAGGCACAACTACTGTCTAACCAGCTTGAGCCATGCGCTGCAGACAGAGTGCTGCGTTTCCTCTCCCAGCAAATGGCTGGGCCAGCAGTACAGACCCTACAGCTTCTTCACCAAACGTAAGTAGGATGATAAGCTTCTCTTTTCATGGAACCAGAAAATGGAAGGTGTTTGTACTTTCATATTTCTTCTTAAGTTAAAAAAAAATAGTGACTAGTTTATAATATCTTGTTAAAATACAAGCATTTCTTGATATACTCCTAGAATTATCCTCATGTCATCAATTGTACAATTGATAACAAATTTACTTTGAATGCTGGGGAGTATAGCTCAGCAATAAACATTTGTCTAGGAAATGTAAGGCCCTTCATTTGGGGCACCTGAGGTTCAAGTGGTATTGGATCGGTCCAATAACCTGCTGATGTAGAGCCATACCAGAAAAAAAAAATACACTGGTGCTCTTTTTTGTGGCACCTCCTAGGTGATCAGCTGTGTCAAGGTGAAGCTGTCTGTCTCCTTTCCAACCGTGGGCTCTCAGAAGCTCACTGAAGTAGGTGATGAACGTCAAGCTTTGTGCTTTCTGTGAGAAGCACATGGCCACAGAATTAGCTGCTGATGCTCTGGGTGAAAGGCGGAGGGCTTTGTGGTCTGAATTAGTATTGGGAATGGCAAGATTTCCCCATGAATCGGGGTCTTAACCTGCAGCACAACTCACCTGGTATCCAGTCAAGGGCATCCTTGTTATAGACCAAGGAGAGCTCGAACGATGTAATGCAAGTGTGTCCGAGGATGTACTGTGGGTGCCAGGCTGAGGGGTGTCAACTTGGTCATTGTTTTAAAAAACAGAGAAGGATATCCCTGGACTGACAGAGATTTCTGCGCCTCATGAGTTGGGGCTCAGAAGAGCTCATAGGAAATGAAAGCGTTTCAGTCCCCCCAATATGTTGTTAAGAAGCCTTAAACAAAGACGGTAAGAAGCCCAGGACAGGAGCACCGGGCCTCAGCATCTTGTCACTCCACGTGTCCTGCAACACAAACACCAACCTGTTGCTCTGGAGAAACAGCACACTGAGGAACATGAGGAGGGGGCTGCAGAGCATGCTAAGCTTTTGACCAAGAGAACGAAGTAAGCCAAAGAGAAGTGCCTGGAACAGACTGGCACGAGACATGGGCTGTTTTCCCTGAGTGCTTCTATTTACATGTCCAGTCAAATCTAAGTCTAATGTAAGAGTAACAAATAAATGACCAGATTTTGGATCTCAAAACGAAAAAACAAAACCAACCCATTGATTCCGTTTAGTTGTTTCTTAGCTGAGGAGAAAGACTGATCAGGGAAAGGTAGTTTTATGCAACACGATTTGTGGGTACTGTTCCTATTTGCAATGGTGTTGCTGGCCTGGAACTTGCCATTCAGGCTAGTTGGCCAGCAAGCTCTGGGCTCCACCTTGTCTGCTCTCCAGTGCTGGGATTGCAAGCACGTGCTACCAGGCCTGGCTTTTTTAACATGGTTCTGGGATCAGACTCATGTCTTTGTGCTTGCAAAGCAAGTACTTTACCTAGTAACCCTTCTTCCCTTCCCTGAATTCAGCCGTTTTATTATATATGTTGGAATAAAATTAGTTCTAAAATAGTTGGTGAGTTGGAAAGATGAAATTTAAATACCAATAAAATACAATAAGGATCAATATAAAAAATCAAGGCATGTACAAGTATTGATTTGAGATGCAGGATTGAAATAGATGTTGGGACATTTGAAACTGACAAATGGAAATAAACTACTATAGTGTAGGTGTATTAAAAGACTTAATGTGAAGTCAAGAAGAAACACACACATGGGGATTAGCTATGAAACGCTGGGATATCTGTTCTTTCATATCTAGTTTGAAAGAAACTGATGTTAAGATATTGGTAGAAGGGTAGAGCAAACTGTCTAAATGAGGCATTAATTCTTGTATGTAAGAAAGTGTCCTAGTTTGTCTTCTCAGTTTGAAACAGCCTAGAGCCATCTCAGGAAAACCTAGAGTCAGATTGGCCTGTGGAAAGTCTGCAGGGACTGTCTTATTTGTTAATAGATATAGCAGGGCCTCACACACTGGGAGGCACCAATTGTAAGTAGGTGGTCCTGGATTATGTAGGAAAGCAGAGTAAGTCCAAGGCTGCAATCAAGCCAGCAAGCAGTGTTCCTCCATGGTGTTTGCTTCAAGTTGACGCTTAAATTCCTGCCTGACCTCCCTCAGTGATGGACTGTGAACTGGATCTGTGAGCCACAGAAAGGCACTCTTCTCATAAGTTCTTTTTGTCAGAGTGGTTTATTACAGCAACAGAGGAAGATACTTATTGATTACTCCAGTGGAGTAATTATTGTGGAGGCAAGAGGATGGGGAAACAACCTAAGTCATAGCTGACCAAATGTCAGTCAAACCTGCTGGTAAAGACCTGGTGCTCAAGTGTGGCTGTCTTTTGTGAGGAGTAATAGCACCATCTCTTCTTGGGCTTTCCAAATGTAACTATGTGGTATGCAGAGTGACTTTGCTGTTTTTCTAATGTCACCACAAGGGTGTACATGAAGTGACTTCTGGCCATTTTATTCAACAGGAGACTGTAGATCATTGCTTTTAAAGTGCAGAATTTAAGACAGCAAACCTGTTTCATTGCAGTCACTGCAGAACAACTCTGGAAAGGTGCATTAGCAGAGACTGGAGCTGGAGCAAGAAAAGGCAGAGGCAAAAGAACAAAGAGGAGGAAGAAGAAGGACTTGAACAGGGGCCAGATTATTGGTGAAGGTAAACTTACATTAAAACATCTAATCTCCTGTTTTGTATATCCCAGGCTGGCCTTGAACTCATGATCCTCCTGCCTTAGTCTCCCTGGAAGTAGGATTACAGGCATGTGCCAGAACTCCTAGCTAGTGAGCTGACTGTTGTTTTGTAGTGTTAGAAAATGACATGTATATCTTGCCAGTTTAAGAAAAAAAAAAGCAAGGATTGCAGAGAATGTTGAGCGCCCTTCAGTTGCCTGTAGTCTTGTTGCCTCCCCATCTGGTTTTGTTAAGTTTCTTTTAATATTTTTAAATGCCTTTATCTAAATGCCTTCATAAAGATAACTTAATTATTCTGTGTGCTGTGCAGAGTTGAATTGTCACCTTGACATACTCCGGAGTTACCTGGGAAGAGTCTCAGGTTGTCTAGGTCCAGTTGTCCTGTGGGCCTGTTTGGGAGGGGGGCATCTTGATTATGTCGATTGATGTGGGTAGACTCAGCCTAAAAGTAGGAGGCACTGTTCTCTGGGTTTGGTTCCTGGGCTCTATAAAGAAGGAGAAAGTGCGCTGTGTCTGTTCTTGACTGTGGCTGTGGCTCAATGCACCCTTGACTTCCTGCAGTGACGGACGGGAACCTGACTCTGTGAGTTAACATAAATCTTCTTCTAAGTTGTTTTCATCAGATTATCATAGTAGAAAAGGAAATAGTATATTCTTTCTTAAAATTTGCTTGTTTTGGCCAGTAGTAGGTCTTGGAAATCAGTCCACATCCGACCATAGAAAGTGACTTTGTTTTGTGAATTCCATGCAGAATATCCTACATACCAGCTGTTCCTAGCCTGAACACTCAGATAGCACTGTTTAGGCCTTTGCAGTAACATTTCAGTGGATATGCTTGTCCAGGCCCAGGTATGCCTTGTCCTGATACGAGTCTTTCCTCAGATGTTGTGGATACAGTGGTTTAGCTTGCATACATTTGCAGTTTTGATAGCACAAAGGGACACGCTGAGCAATCATGTTACCTAAGCTCCACCAGCCTGGGTTATCTGTTCATATCTTGCTTGACATTTTGATACTAGAAAAGTGAATCTTCAAATTCTTATTTACGAATATTTTTAAATCTTTAGGGCGTTCTGGTTTCCTGTGGCCTGGTTTGAATGTTCCTGTTATAAAAAGTGGAGTAGTCCAGAACATTGGCCAAAGAAGTAAAGAAGAGCAGCAGAAGGTGGAGGCCAACATGGCCGAGCAGAGAGAAGAGTGGGACCGGAAGAGGAAGATAAAAATTAAACGGGAGCGCGGCTGGAGTGGGAACACATGGGGAGGTGTCAGTATCGGCCCTCCAGACCCGGGGCCCAATGGAGGTAGCTGAGTTCCCGTCTTATTTGCCTTTGTGACAGTGCTAGGGGGGCTTTTGAAATAATTTTATTTACTTGCTTGTTTAGGGTTTTCTTTTTCCTGATAGAGTGTGAGCATCTTTGAGTAAAACCACATTATTGTCCAAACTATATCATAGAAAACACGGCCAGGAAGAGTGGAGAGAAAGTTTCTATAACAAGAAGTTACACTTGTGGTTTATTATTTTCCTTTTAAGGAAAACAAAAGCCATGAAAGCAGCAGAGAGGCGCGCTGGGAAGAAGGGTTTCAGTGCAAGCGTGAGGGGAGGAGGGGAGGCACAGTGACGCTACACACGTGAATTGTTGAAGGATAAAAATCCTTTAAGAAATTAGAAAACGGAGTGTGGAGAGGATACTGAGGTGGAAGACCACCGGGTGTTGGTAGAACTAGAGACCATGAGTTTTGAGTGGCTAAGTGTGCAGTGCCTTGACTTCTGTCCCGCCATGCCCAGTAGTTGGTGTGTGGCCAGAGAGCTGCACTGATTCAGGGAAGGGAGTGTGAGGAGAAGCTTAGGGAGTTTGGAAAGGGATGGGCTTCAGTGTCTTGACCCAATGGCAAATGGTGGTCAAAGGTCTGGAGCTGTGAAGACTCAGAGCTGGTGAGGAACACTGTGGGTTTGGGCAGAGAGTGATCCAGCCATGAAGCTAGAGGTAGGACCATCTACTGAGGATAGGGGATGGGGTGGGGGGGCAGGACGTGGTCTTGAGAGGGGTACCAGAGGACCCCAGACTTACTAACTTTGGAGTTTGTGATGGGCTGGGTGTGTAGCTCCTTGGTAGAAGGCTTGCCTACCAAGTACAAGGCCCTGGGTTCAATCTTAATGAATGCCCCATCAAAGAAAACTGTCTGTGCTGGTGCCTGTGTTGAACAATGCTTCCAGACATTAATACTACAGACTCATTTATCTGTATGCTTTTTCTTCTTGTAGAAACATATGAAGACTTTGATACCAGGGTTCTTGAGGTAGGCACATGGAATTAAGCATCCTGCCATGCCTGTGGAGAGGCTGGGATGTAAGGAGTGGGGCTGGGGCAAGAGGACCGGGAAGAAGTTTTTGATGATGGCAGTCTCTCAGATGCAGAGCTAATCTGAGTAAGGAAATAGTGAAACTTCATGCTGCGTTACTTAGTATAACAGGCTGTCCTGTTTGCCTTCAGGAGTCCATATTGAGATCTCATGACAAGGTGACTTCCGTGGTTGTTTAATAGCAGATTTGGAGCTTCTGTGTATATCCCTCCATCCTAAAGCTCAAGAAGGGTTAGCAGCTTATCACTGAGGTTCTCCTCATAGCCAGCACTCAGTCTGAAGGACACAGCTGAGGTGGAGCGCAGTTACTGATACACAGCTGGGCAGGATGGTAGCCGATGGCTAGTTTTGCTGGGAAATGAGCCCTTGAAGCTGAATCCCTGTCAGGTGAATTTTTAGAGCTCTCTGAGAGAGACGCCACTGTTGGTCTGGTGCTGCACACTTGTTGTTCTGTAGCCTGGAAGCACTCACCTGACCTGGAGCTGTGCCGCGTATGCGTGCACCGTGTATTGCTGCTGTTATCCAAGACAGAGTTTGAACTAACTTCTGTTACGTCGATTGTTTTCTGTATGATTATCCACAAGAGTGATGCGCTTTCTCTCCCTTTAATTCCACATCATAGTAAAGGAGCACTGTGAGCCAGGGTGTAGCTGCCAAGTTAACAGTTTCATAGTTCTTGGCCTTTAAAATGGTCAGATTAAACCAGATGAAGATACCTGTAGATTTCTTTTTTAGTTTATCATAAGCAGCATTAGCAATATTTCTATTCCCCAGTAAGCCTGCTCTTTACCTGTCGGCCCCGTCCTATGCAGTTACCTCTATATGCTGTGTTTCACCTTATATAGATAGGTGAGCGTCTGTTGCTGGGCTGTTTCATGTTCACTGATGAGCCATTCCGTTTTTATACAAAGTGTTTTCTTTCCTGTGGCATATTCATTAAAGTAGCCCACTTTGAGTTGTATATGTTTCAAATTCCTTTAAACATCTTAGTTGAATCTTCTATTAAGCCTGCGAAATAGAAAGAGAAAGTCTTACTTCCATTCTCTTCCTGGGGAGATGACCCATGGGGCAGCTACGGGAGCTTCTGTTTGGAGAAAGTCTGTTTTTTGTCTCAAAGCACCAGCTGGTCTTTTTTAGAATTTTCCTAAGGCAATATTGAGGCATTTTGTCTTTCAGGTAAGAAACGTTTTCAATATGACAGCAAAAGAGGGAAGAAAGAAGACTGTCCGTGTCCTGGTTGCCGTTGGGAATGGAAACGGGGCTGCAGGTGAGCGGCTGGTGGTAGGGTGGGCTGGGCTTGCTGAAAAGACAGCACTCCCTGCTGCTGGCCTGATCTTTCCTCCTGATTCGTCTTTTAGTGGTTTGGGCTCATGGACCCAAAATTTCACTATGTAACAAAAATCCACCCAATGTAATTTGTTATACTTTTGCTGGTGTAGGAATAGGAGAGGCTTCTTTCAGTAAGGTTGCTACCCTTTTATGTGTTGATAAGGATCATCAGATGGGCTCCCACCACACCCCTGTCTGTGACACTGTCAAGCTTCAGTTATTGACGGCATGCTGTAATCGGCATACTCTTAGTTTTGATTTGCGTGTCTTTAACTAGGAAGTGTGGGCACAGTTTTGCTTATTTATTGATCATGCCATTTTCTTTTGAGCTTTGACAGCTCATGTGTTTGATCCAGTTTTTATAGAGTGGTAGTTGTTTTCCTGATTAGCATAAGCTTTTCATAAATTGAAGACATATCACCCCTTCAGATGCTTTGACTTGGTTTTAATTTCCTTCTTCACAGTGTTAAATCCAGAGATGTTGTAAGCTTCTATATAGCAAATCTGCCACTCTTCCATCACTTACACGTGTGTTTTGCTTGAAGAGTCTCTGTTTGAAAACTAGAAATAAGTCTGCTTATATTATTCTCTGCAATATCTATGTTTTGTTTCTTTTATTTATCTGAAAATTAGAAAATACAATTTCTCTGTCTTGGGTCAGGTCTCTTGTGTGTTTCATGTCTTATAAATGATGCCTGTCTTTGTATAACTTACAAAGTTACACTTATTGAACTTCACATTCAGTAATTGGCAGTAACATCAGATGCCAGGAGCTTTCCAAGAACCTATGCAAAACTTTATTTAAAATAACCACAGGTTAGCCGGGCAGTGGTGGCGCACGCCTTTAATCCCAGCACTTGGGAGGCAGAGGCAGGAGGATTTCTGAGTTCAAGGCCAGCCTGGTCTACAGAGTGAGTTCCAGGACAGCCAGGGCTATGCAGAGAAACCCTGTCTCGAAAAACCAAAAAAAAGAAAGAAAAAAAGAAAATAACCACAGGTTAAAGGAGCACTGATCTCGTCTCTGGCCAAATTAAAACTTAGATCGGGCTTGACAGTCTCATGAGAGCTAGGAAATGTCACTCTGGAGCAAGGCATCCCACCTGCTGCTCACTGTAGTCTGTTTCCAAAGGCAGTCACAGTCATTGCTTGGTAACTTAGAACTTGAGTGCAGGGCTGCCAAGATAGCTCAAGAGCTAAGAGCACTTGCTGCTCTTTCAGAGACTAGTGTTTAGTTCCTGGTGCCTGCATGTCAGCTTACAACCATTTGTAACTCCAGATCTAGGGAATCTGACATCTCTTCTGACCCCCTTGGATGCCTGCATGCATGTGGTTCACAGACATACATTCACACACATACACATAAAATTAATTAATTAACTAATTAATTAATAGCTCAGAGCCAGGCATCATGCACATCTTTAATCTCATCACTCAGGAGGCAAAGGCAGGATGATCTCTGAGATCAAGGCCCGCCTGGGCTACACAGAGAAACCATGTTTCAGAAAACCATGATACATATAAATAAATGAATAACCCAAGCTCACTTCACTTCAGTAGCAATGTATTAGCAATGCAGTGCATCTCATGTTGAATTTGATATACATATTCAAAAGTAAAATGTTGAGAACAGTCCAGTAGTCTGTGGCTCTGTGCTTGCTGGTTAGGGGAGCAGCTTCTCTGTAGGTGGTGGGAGCAGCAGGAGCTCAAGCTGGGACTGAGGTGGGAAGTGTGTTGTGTGCAGAGCTGCTTCCATCTCCACATCTGTGCCTTTTCCTTGAAAGGTTTTGCTATTGGGAAAGCCGCTAACCGGACAGATGCTTTCAGAAAGGTATGTGCTTTATCTTTCTGTTTGTCTGAGAGAGGGTCCTGCTATCACCTGAGCTCCAGGTCCTCCTGCCTCTGACTCCAGAATGTTGTAAGTTCACGTGTGTGTGCTACCATACCCGGCTACACACATTTTTCTTATTCACTTTTAGTAAAAGATAATGAGCTTTGCATACGCCCTGGAACCATAAGAAAATAATTTGTTCTAGAACCTTCTCATGAGGCTTGCTGTCGAAGGTTGCTTATCCTTATCTCATAAGAAGCCATTTCTCATGTGCCTGTTACAGATCTGTGATTGCTACCTGTGGTGAGCCTGCTGTGGAGGCTTATGTTCCGACAGGCCGTTAAGCAGCACAGGAAGTTCACAGTGAAATTATGCTTATGGTTTTTGTTGTTGTTTTAAATACTAAAATTTTCATATAGGTAGAATTGCTAATAGTAGACCAGGCCTGGCCTTGAATTTCCAGAGATCTGCCTGACTCTGCATCCTGAGTGCTAGGATTAAAAGTGTGTACAACCATTCCCAGCTAGCCAACAAAATAAGAAATATTTTCTTCCCTGTTTTTTTTTTTTTTTTTTTTAGGCAAAGAACCGAGCAATTCATTACTTGTACTACATAGAACGATACGAAGGACACACGAGTGAGTGTGGGACGAGTGTGGGGCACTTCTCCTGCGGTCTGCAGGAGTAGCCACTGCAGAATGTGTCACAAGACATTTTTGTGTTCTCTGTTATTCATGAAATGTGAGAATAGATCTAACCTGGAGACCACATTGTCTGTCCTTTGCTATGTGATGCTGCCGAGCTGTTCAGACCTTGCACCTGACGCTTCTTGTGCTTGTTTTTACCTCCAGTATTCCATGATATTTCACTAAGATTCAAAAGGACACAGATCAGGATGAAGAAACAACCCAGAGGTAATAACTCTCAACGTTTGACTATAACACAGAGACTGCAGCAGCCTGGGCCTCTGCCCCTTTTTGTCACCTTTCTTGATCTTCTGGAGGCATTTTGTCACCTGAGATTCCCACCACTTCGATGACTATAGCTTGTGTCAAGTTGACACAGAGCTAGCCAATATAACCGCTAAGCTTTATCTCCAGACCCTCCTCCACACTGAGCGCCATCTTCTATGAGGTCTCTATCAAAGCATGCGGAATTGGCTCCTCTGCCTCTGTGATTATCACAGAGGGGCTGTGACAGTCATTCCCCAGATGCTGACACGTTCTCCTTCACGTCTCACCTGTGATTCTACAGTAAAGATGGTCTCATATAACCTTAGTTCTACAAATCTCTAGAAGTTTGGGTCTGAGCAGTTAAAACATTTAAAATTTTGTATCAGAGCTTCTAATACAGTTCTGCTAGAGCTGTGGGTAAAGCACCATCACCACCCACAAACAAATCAACACGCTCACATCAGGGTGTTAATGCATCAGAACTTGCCTTCTGCTTCTCAGCTATAATTCTTCACGCAGATGCCTGCTTAGACTCACTTTGTTCCACAGAATGGCAGCCAGCCAGTAGGTGATCATGGACGTAGTGTGTGGCTGCTGAGATCACTCAAATCAATACACATCACGTTTCTATGAATTAGAGGGTAAAGTCTCTCATACGAAGTATATTTTGAAATGATAATTATTTGGACCAGTTGAATTAATAAAATATATTGGCAAAATGCACACTGCTTAAAACAACTTTAATTCATCTATGAGAAAAATTTAAATCACATGGCTTCTGTTTGTGGCTTGAGTTGCCTTTTTTTTTTTTTTTTTTTTTTTAAAGAGAGTTGGTTTAGACACATTTATTATCTAAATGCAGAGGCCAGAGCCACGTGAAGGACAGCAGATTGAGTGAGACCTTCTGTAGGAGAGTTGTTGGATGTTTCATTTTGATCTTCTTCCAGGTTACGGCCTCCGCTGCCACAGGGCCATTATCACCATCTGCCGCCTCATTGGCATCAAGGACATGTATGCAAGAGTCACTGGGTCCATGAACATGCTCAACCTCACCCGGGGCCTCTTCCATGGGCTTGCCCGCCAGGTAACCTCCTGGGTGGAAAGGCAGAAGTGCTAGTTTATGTTCCAGGCTGTGCTGTTTGGCTTCCTCAGTACCTTTCCAAGTGAGGCAGAGGGATTCTAAGCCAGGCCCAGGCCTAGTTAGACAACCCAGGGGTCTTATCTGTTAGGAAACACATCCTTGCTTGTTAATGGTCACAGTTCCAACTAGCTCAGGTCAGTGTGAACCCTACATGGGTAACACAAAGACTGACTGTGCTCCTCCCGAATGGAAGGGCCCTAGGAGCTTCACCAAATCCAACAAATAGGATTAAACTAGCAAATAGACTTTCTCTTTTCATTTGGCATTTTCATGTAATGGTAGATCAAGCATATTTTTATCATTCAACAATATAATTCCTGGCTTTCTAAATGTTGAAGCTTAAACTTGAAGAAGTCCATGAAGCATTTGTTTAAAAGTCCCTTGAGTGGTGCAGTTACCCTGGTGTAGCCATGGAAGCAAAGAGTGCCATGTCCTCCCAGAGATGGGGCCCTGAGTTGCTATCCAGTGGGATAGCTCATGGTCCTTCCACCCCTATTGAAGGGCATGGTTTATAACGGGGAGGTTGGCTGGTAGGCCTGTGACTTTGGAGATGGGTCTTCTTCCATCTTAGTTTGTGTGTTGCTATTAGACTGAGGTAAATTTCTGTGGACACACCCTCCCAGTCTGGCCACACACAGTTCCCAGTTGACAGAAGCCCTGACCCTTTAGGTTTCGGGTGGCCTTCACAAATATAATCTGTTCTCTATTTGCTGTTTTTCAGGAAACCCATCAACATTTGGCCGATAAGAAGGGTCTTCATGTGGTGGAATTCCGGGAGGAATGTGGGCCTCTGCCTATTGTGGTCGCCTCCCCACTTGGAGCCTTGAGTAAGGAGCCAGAGCCTGAACCTGAGGTTCCTGATACCAAACTGGACTGGCAAGAAGTGAAGGCCATGCAGGGAATGAAGCGCTCTGTGTGGTTTGACTTAAAGAGGCCTGCCACCTGAACGTCCCGCCCTGCCCCAGCTTCAACATTTAGAAAGCCAGGAATTACATTGTTGAATGATAAAAATATGCTCCAGGTGCTTGCTGCTGACAGCACCTGGAACTCTACCCCTCACCTGGATGTGTTGTCTTTTTTATTTTAAAAAAGTCCAACCTTCTTTCTTTTCAAATAATAATTATAGATTTGTTTTACTGAGCACATGATATGTAGCAGTGTGGTGGGAATGTTACTGCAAATACCAGGAGCAGTTCATTATTTAAACTCGGAAGTGTAAGTGGACTGGGAGACAGCTAAGTAGTAATGTGCACAACAGCCATTGCTGTGACAGTTAAGGTTGTGTTTATTACGTAGTCATCCAAGAATGAATGTTTTCAGCTACATTTTACAGAGAAGTTGGGTAGCCTGACTCGCAGAACCATTAACCAGGCAGTTCCCCCAGCAGTTGCATGCCATTTGTGTTCAGTACTGTGCCAGGCTGTGGCCTCACCCTCAGCTGTGTTTACTGGTCTCTAGGTGATAGTGATTCCGGTGTCTGAAGTATGTCTCACTGTCACCTTTACTCACATGTCCTGAAAAGCTAATGGCATCCAGTGTCCTCATTGGCTTATCAGGTATTCATGTGGCCCGTTCAGATCCTTTGCCCATTTTTAAAAATTGGGTTATTTGTGTTTTTACTGTCAGCTGTAATTGTTCTTTGTTGTGTATTAGAGATACAAATCTCCTATCAGATACAACATACAGTTGGGCTCTGGGGTTTTTGTTTGTTGGTTTGTTTTGGTTTTTTGTTTTCTCTGATAGACTTGGCTTACTTACCTTTAACTGGCATTTTTAGGTCATTGACATATAAAGTGGCTGCGATGTAGTGAAGCCAGTATCTGACAATATCAATTACACTTCTTTTTCTTTTTTTAGTAGTTGCTCTAGAGTTTGCTCTATACATTTGTAACTAATCCAGGTCTCCCCTAGGCAGCACCATCCTGCTTTGTAGCTAGTTTATTCAGGTACCTTACAGTGATGGAGGATTAAGTTCTTGTATCCCTTCCCTCATGTCCCTGCTTCAGTTCATTCAGGCCTCATAAACCTGAGCAACACTCACGGAGTCACTGTTACTGTTACAGTTTTAACATAAGTCTGTGTTTCAGACCCCCATCTCTTTGTTTTCTTGTATCTTAGCTTACAAGGCAGGTTCACTGGAACAAAGCCTGTCAGTTGTTTGTCTGAGTCTTTGCTTAATTATAGCTCCATGAGACTTCTCTTTGAATAGTTTAAGTATTTTCTCTCATACTTTCTGAGAAATTAGGTGTGTTGCTTATTTCTGTTCCTCTTTAGGTAATGTTTTCTTCTGTCTTCTTTGAAGACTTCTTTCCCCTTCATCTTTGGTCTTTAGCAGATAGGCTATGATGTGCTGAGTGTAGGTCTTACATAGACCCATCCTATCTCCTTTTCCTGCTTTGTAAATTTCTCTTGATGTAGCCTCCACCTAGAAGTCCTTGTTGTGTTCAGTCTAGCAATAACCCCATCGAAGATGCCCCCTGCTTTGATTGCGGCGTTTGGAGTGTTTTGTCTTTGTTTGTTTATTCATATTTTGAGACAGGGTGTGATGGTTTGAATGAGAGTGGACCCTATATGCTTATATATTTGAATGCTTAGTCCTGTTAATGGAACTATTCGGGAAGGATTAGGAGGTATGTCCTTGTTGGAGAAGGTATGTCACTAGGGATGGGCCTTGAGGTTCTCTTTCTGCCTGTTGCCTATGGATCAGGATTTAAAGCTTTCAGCTCCATACCTGCTGCCTGGTGCCATGCTTCCTGCCATGATGATCATGAACTAACCTTCTGAAAGTGCAAAGAAGGCCTCAATTAAATGATTTCTTTTATCAGAGTTGCCTTGATCATGGTGTCTCTTCACAGCAATAGAACAGTGACTAGCCCACCATGCTCTTATCTTTTTTAAATGTCATTTTCCCAAACTACTGACAACTACATTGTCATTGGGAAGAAAACTATTTCAGAGTAAAAAATGTTTGACATCTGATTCTCCCCAATAACTTGGCAATAAAATGAAAAGTGAAGTAGAAGTTTGTCTTGGGAGTGAGGCCTCGTCACTAAGAATGCTGTGTTTCAAAGGATGCGTTTTGCTTCTCCCCCAGAAGCATGGGGAACCTGTTGAGCTGGAGGCAGAACTCAAGTGTGGAGGCCCTGTGACTTCGCAGCCTGCCTTATCCAACACGGCCTCTAGCAGCCCTCTCTGCCTTGCTGAGACACGCAGAGAAACGCACCTGGCAGTGATACGTGTAAGCGAAGTGTAGAGATATGCCAGGTGACCCATGGATGCCCTGGCCTCAGGAGGCATTGATGTGTCCCTACCATCCATTGCTTAGCAAGGAAAGGAACTCGAGAGTGATACTTAGCAGAATAATTGTACTGAGTGAAAGAAGTCAGGTTTCCTTAAAACGAGATGTGAAAGTTTCCAGAACAAACTATAGCAGTAGAAATAGTTGTGTAGGGGTGGACGAAGGTGTTACTGAGGGCTCGAGGTGGCTTTTGAGATGGTCGATGTCATGGTGGTATGGCATGTAAGTGCAAAGGTCGATATTCTGAGCTCCTCCAGGGCTACTGGATGCCAGCTGGGGGGTTCCAGTGTGACAGCTCTATTCTCAGGTAGCTTCTGGGTGTCAGGGAGAGACTGTCAATAAATGTTAGGGTTCTAAGCTCTCAGGGTGGGTCTCTGCATTCGGGGTGACCATGCAGAGTGCAGGTCCCTGGGAAATACAGAAGCCTGGGGCCCTGCCTCCTCCTTGCAGGTGAAGTGGCAAACAATGGCTTCTCAATGCAGGATCTGCTGCCCTGCATGCAGAGCATTTGCTGTGTCTAGCAGGAGTGGGTGCCAGTTCCTCCTGCATGCAGCAAGTCTACAGGTCCGACTAGGGGGTGGGTGTCCCAGGAGCATCTTCCTTCCCTGGGAGCCAGACTCTGAAAACTTTAGGTTTCCTTTGAAGGGAACAGGTAAGTCTGGGAACTTTCCCCCACCCCAGCTGGGACTCAGCAGAGATTTGGTGTCTGCCATTACATAGTGCCTGGTGGGACACCATGTGCAAGAGAAATTAAAATGTAAATTGGGAAAGATCTATCAAACCCAAGAGGGAAAAGAAAAGGCCAGGCAAACCTGTTTGGATTCTCAATGAGAATGGTGGCCCTCACCCCTCTGGGTCTTGTGCCATCTGTGTTTTTAAAGTTCCATTCACAGGCCGGGCCGGGCGGTGGTGGCGCTCGCCTTTAATCCCAGCACTTGGGAGGCAGAGGCAGGCAGATTTCTGAGTTCAAGGCTAGCCTGGACTACAGAGTAAGTTCCAGGACAGCCTGGGCTATACAGAGAAACCCTGTCTCGAAAAACAAAAAACAAAAACAAAAAAAGTTCCATTCACTAGGAGTAGACAACCTGGTTGTTTAAGGGGGCAGTTTCTATCTTGGGTGGGACGGGTCCAATCCATTATGGCTGCAATCTGTCAAAGGCAGCTCTGGGAACTGGGGTTTGCAGTTGCTATGGAGGTCTGATTGATTGCCTTAGCACCCAGGTGTCGGCGCCTGTGCTGTTGTGGAGCTCAGACAGATGTTGGGGGCCTTCTGATGCTCTAACCAGCTAGAATAGCTGTGGGGGGAGGTTGGACTCCTCACTCTTTTACATTTCACTTGGGTTTTTTTGAGGTTGCAACCACTAGAGGGCTGAGTTCCTCAAATAGTTCTATTCCCTTTTGGACTGATACCATGTAGACAGAAATCTGGCTGTCTTGTCACTGAGATGTGCAGTTTGAAGTGCCCATCTACTAGAAAGGGGGTGGTTCTTTAAAATACAGGATACCAATTCCATTTAAACATCCATTTTGCCTAGCAAATGCTGTCGTGGAAGACACACATGCTTTCTTCATGAGGTGTGGGTGTGTTCCTGGCATCTGCCAAGCCACAGATTACCAGGTTCAGAAAGGTTTCTTTAATTTTATTATTTATTTGAGACAGAGTCTCACTATGCAACCTTGTCTGGCCTGGGATTTGCTATGTGGATGAGGCTGACCTAAAACTCAGAGTGAGTGATCCTTTCCTGCCTATCTCCTGAGTGCTGGGATTAAAACTGTGTCCCCAAGTTGGGCCTCAACTAAGTTTATTACAGGCAGGCCCAACCTGAAGTCAGGGTTGTGGAACAACTCCAAAGTCATTGTCCTGCAGATGTGACCTTAGTCAAGTTGTTGAGTTTCTCTCTACCCCTAGACCCAGTTTCGATTTCTAAGGGTGAATAGTGAGGAGATCGGGATACACAAAGCCCAGGCTTCCTGCCAGGACAGCACAGGTGACAGCTACATGTGAGCCGAGCACAGCAATGACAGATCAAGGAGTTGGGACTCCTTGTGGCTCTGGCTTGTGAGGCACCAACATCTTAACAGCAGGCCATTGTTTCAGGAAAATTCCAGAAGTAATTGGAGTGAGAACAGAGAGAGAGCCTGGCAGAGGCAAGAGGCATCTCAGTCTGGGATTACTGGGGAGCAGCTGGGTGTCAGGCAGCTAGCTGTGTCCCTGCTGTACAGGAGCTGCAAGCTGAGGCTCTCAGCGCTTAGCATGAAATCCGATCCCTGCCCTTCAGAGATTGGCTGTTACTCTGATGCTGTGTAGGACCCTTCTTTGAACCAAAAATACTATTAGGGGAGGGGGTGTCACAATGCTTTTACGATGGATACAGAAAGATTGGCATTTATTGAGCATTTAACATGGATAGACGGTGTTTCAGTCCACTTGTAAACTAAAAGCCCTTGAGTACTGAGATTTCTAGATTATATGAATTTGCTTAAGTTAACAGCTGGTTAGTGGTTGCCAGAGCAGCTAGCCTCCCGAGCCAGCTCCTGAGGCCCATGTGCCAAGAAGGCAAGGTGAGTTCCTTTATCCAAGGTTTAGTTTTGTTTTTCTATGGGAGGTGGGGTAGAGAGGTGCCTAGAAGACAGGAGAGGCTTACTGGGTTTCTAGGGAAAGGAAGGTAGGAGAGTTGGGAAGTTGGGAGGAAGGAATGGTTATTTTCTTAGGGTCTTGAGGGCAGATGGGGCTGCATGTGTGTGTCTATGGTCACACTATGCGCCCCCCCACCCCCCGTGTGAGTGAAGAACGCAGCTAGGGGGATGCTCGAAACAGCAAAGCCAAGCGGGGATAGCCAGCCTC